TCCAAGCAGAGGGCCGTAGAAGAATCATGGGCACCTTGCTTTCTTACTGCAGAGGAATGGCAGTGGGAAGAAGCCACAAGAGCCAGTGCGGTGTAGTGGTTAGAGCACGGGGCCGGGACTCAGGCGATCCGGGTTCGAGTCCCCACTGGGCCATGGAGCCAACTGGGTGACTTCGGGCCAGTCACAGACTCCCGGCCCAACCCACCTCACAGGGTTGTTGTTGTGGGGACGAGATGGAGGAGGAGAATGATGTCAGCTGCCTTGAGCCCTTGGTAGGAAAAAGGCAGGCTAGAAATCGAAAAATAAATAAATAAGAAGACACAGATGTTGCGGATCAGCTGCAGATTTCGAAACCTTCCAGATCGCCACTGACGTGGGCTGTCGGCTTTGGAGGAAGGCTGTCCTGAGCCTTGCAGGGCTGGAAGGAGACCAGGGCCGTGCTGGCTGGGACGGAGGAGAGTTGGAGCCCCACGCATCTGGGAGGCATCAGCTGCGGAAGGGATGCTCCTTCAGCCCCACTCGGGTCCGGCCCGGGCTCCCCCGCGGCTGGCGCGCAGTCCCTGCAGGTGCTTGTGGGGGGAACACAGCCCTTGAGGAAACGGGCTGCGAGGCGCTGCACGGGGAGGCTTTTTCCTGCAGGACACACGGTGGCAGTCTGCAACCTCGTTCTCCTCGCAGGGCCTCTGCGAGTGCAGAAGAGGCTGCAGCGGCCTTGCCGAGGGGGACTCCCCGCCCGGCAGCACGGGGCACGGCCTCGGAGGGAGCAGGCTCTGGGTCGGGCGCTTCCGGGCGGGCCAGCGTCAGAAGAGGCGCGGCCGGATCAAGCCACAGTCCTGTTCACACGGCGGCCCAGCAGCTGCCCACAGCAAAGCCACAGGTGGGACGGGGGGGGCACAGCACCTTCCCGCCCACGTTCCCCTGCAGCTGGTGCACACAGGCACACCGCCTCTGATCCTGGAGGGGGTACACAGCCATGAGGACTGGTAGCCTTCACTAGCCATCACTTGAGTACCTTCCCTGCAGGAAGACAGGTTATCAGGTCAGCTCCTTTGACAGCCAGGTTTGACCAAAACAGGGGATTAATTAAAAACTACTATGTCTCTACAGGTTGCTTTTAGAGAGAAATTTAAAATTTCTGAAGATTTTGAAGCCATGGAACCAGGGGTATTCTGTTTTGTTCTTTTTTTTTCCCCGGGAAATTTTGGGGCAAGGAGATTTTTGGGGAAAATGGAAACACGAGCACACTTTGAAAATCTAAAGTCAGTTTGGGCACCATCCTGTGGTCTCCCAACACTGTCTCAAAGGCCGCTGGATTATTTGCCTTCTCTCTCTGCTCGCATCTCTCTCCCTCGCGCAAGGGTGTGCTTTCTGCAGTTTTCCTCCGCTGGGCGATATTTCCGTTTCCTGGGGGAACCGTTTTCCCCAAAGTTGCCTTGGCCTTGCTCGTGACCCGTGCAATATGGTCTTGGACTTGGTGAGCCTTTCTAACTTTGCGGTAGACAAGTTACCAGTCCTCTAACACCGTGGCTTTGGGTCGTCCCCAAGCAAGGGATGTAACCCTCTTGACTCCCCCTTTCAACTCCCTTTTAACCAGTTCCTTCATTTTATTTATTTATTTAAAACTTTTGTATGCCACCCCTTATGCAAGGCATCTCAGGGAGGCTTACAACCATTAAAATCAACACACAATAAAACAAACCATATCAATATTATAAATAACAAATAACCAGGAAATATAAATTAAATAAAAAGCGACTGTTGAACATTAAAATGCTAGTTTTTTAAATAACAATTAAATAAAAAGGTTTTGACCTGGCGCCGAAAAGAATATAAACTTGGCACCAGGCAGGGAGCACATTCCACAATCTAGGCGCCACCACAGAGAATGCCCTGTTCTGAGTAGCTGTCCTCTTTACCTCCTTCAGGGAGGGTTCCTGGAGCAGGGCCTCTCCCGCAGATCTTAAGGGGCGTGAGGGCGTATAAGGAAGGAGACGTTCCTTCAGGTATCCTGGTCCCAAGCTGTTCAGGGCTTTATAGGTCAAAACCAGCACCTTGAATTGGGCCCGGACTTCAACTGGAAGCCAGTGGAGCTGATAGAGGACTGGCATTATACGAGAAAAGGACCGGTCCCCGTTTGCAACCTGGCCACTCTCTTCTGTATCAGCTGAATTATCCGGACCGTCTTCAAGGGCAGCCCCACGCAGAGCGCATTGCAGTAGCCCAACAGGGAGGTTACCAGAGTGTGAATCTCTGTTGCCAGGCAGTGTTTGTCCAGGTAAGGATGCGGCTGATGGACCAGCCGAAGCTGTAGGAAAGCGCTCCTCGCCACCGTTGCCAACTGGGCCTCCAGGGACAGCTCCGGGTCAAGCTTAGATCTAAACATTTTTTGGACTTCTTTTGAAGTCCAATGCGACTTTGGCAGTTCTCCACTTCAGTATATAGTACATCTGATAATCCTTGGCCGCTGTTTCAAGGAGTTCAACAACGCTTTCCTCTTGTACTAGGTCCTGGTAGGGATATGAGGAATTGCTTAGGGTTGGATTCCCTAGGCTCTGCTCCCGGACTCGGGCCGCTTTGTCGTGGCCGGTGGCTGCATCTGGCATTTGCATGACACTCACCAGGAGCCAAACCCTGCCCAAGCGGCGTCCCTCTTTGATGTGCCACAAGGACAAGTAGCAGCCGCTGTTCCGTGAGCCGCTGGAGACGTCTTCTTGGCCTGGCGCGCTTTCCGAGACATGGGAGGAAACCTGCAGACTCTGCCGGGACAAGCCCACCGTGCATCCCCAGTCCTGGGCAGCCCAGTTCCACAAGGGTCCAATCCAGGCTTGCCCCTCGCTGCTTGGCTCCACGGCTGATGGTTCTGGGCAGCAGGCCTGCATGGGTTCCTTCCATGCAGGCACCAGGCCAGGGAACCCCCTTCCTTATGGGCACCGTCCTACCTTTCGGCTCATCAGCCCCTCACCCCGGCACCCCGTCTGTCTCACCCGCCCCGACCCTGCACTGTCCGGGGAGCTGAGGGAGGAGGGGCTGCTGCCAGAGCCCGCCCTCTGGTCCCGTCCCCAGGCCACCAGGAGCCAGACCCCGCCTGGTTGCGGGGAAAGGGTCCCTGCGCCCAGAGCTGCAGCCCTGGCATCCTGCCCTGTCTGAACCCGCTTTGCTTCTGGTGACGCGAGGCAGGACAGTGGAGCCAACGGGAATCTGCCAGCCCCACCAGGCCTCCCCTGCAGGTTGGCGTAATCCTGAGTGGGCGCTTACGCTGCCCCAAGTTCTCACCCGATGGCTAAAGCCATTTCCTGTAGGTACATGGCTCAACCCCAGGGCTCGCTGTTTCACACTCTCCTTGGGGGACCGAGGCTGCAGGAGGCATGGCTTCAGACCTCCTCGCGGAATGGGAGCTGCAGAGCTGGGCTTCCCCGGCAACCCCCCCCGCCCCCACAGCAAGGATCAATGCAAAGGAAGCTCCAGGTTTGGCCCTCGAGGGGGGAAGCGTTGCCACCCACCTCGCAGGGTCTTTTCTACAGTGGCTCCGAGTTCCAGAAAGCACTTTTCCAGGAGGACGTGGCTCTGTGAGCCTGGAGGGGTGGGGAGCCTCTTTCTGCCCAAGGGCCAAGTCTGGCTTTGGGGAAGGACTAGCTTGGGGGGCATTCCAGTACCGAGCAGCCAAGTCAAAGGGGGCAAGACCAAAATACAGCTGAAAACCCTTCCTACCAGTACGGAAGCACCGCGAGAACCACTTCAGCCTTTAAGGGAGGAGGAAAACTGCACCAAAGCTGCAAAGATATCCAAAGATCGGCACTCGTGGGGAGCGGTGGGCCCAGTGGAAGGGGGTGTGGCCACAGGAGGGTCCCCAGGGCCCAATCCGGCCCCTCCAGTGGTAGGCAGAGGCATTCCCTAAGGGCATGCGCACTGAAGAGCGAGGGCGCTTCCCCGCCTCTCCACGCGCGTGACCCGTGCTCGGCCCCGGCGGAGTCGCTGGGCGCCGACACGGGCATCTTCGCGGGGCCGCGCGCGCCAGTGGCTCTTCCCAGCACTGCCTTTTTCCCACGCCCGCTTTTTCCTGAACCGAATCTGCTCTGAAGCGGTTCAAACTGTTCGAAATGTTATCCGTGGAAATTTTGTGCGTTTCTTTTTCATGACCCGTGTTTGTGTGTTTGATGTGACTTGCTGTGAACTGCCCTGGGAACTCCCGTGTCTGGCCAGTACAACATCAAAAGAATAAATGATTGGGATTAAGGGAATGACGGGGTGGGGGGCGCACATCGATGGTCATGAATGGTGGCCGCTGGAATGGAGCCTCCATGGGCAAGCGCACAGCGTGGCGCCTCTGCGCCTCCTGCCTGGGGGTCCCACACCGCCCGGTCGCGCTTTTCAGCCCCCTTGGACTGTCGGGCGCGCGTGCTCCCCCCGGTCTATAGATGCAATCTGAGGGGTCGCCGTAGAGCGCAGGATGCCCGGACAGGAGGCCCTTGGACTGGCCCCACGGGACCCGACTCTTCGCTGAGACCCGAGCGATCCCGCGAACCTCGGGAACGCTTTTTGTTCAGAGGCAGTCCGGGAATGCCCTGAGGCTGCCGTGGCGCCCGCAGCACTTCCGCTCGCGAGAGAGCCGCAGCGCTTACTCCCGCGGAGGCGGGCTCAGGATGCGGGCAGCGCCTTCAAGGGGCGGGCGCCGGCGCCCCCCGGCCGGGCGCGCCCAGCTTCGGAGCCGCCAGCGGGGCAGGCGTGCGCCTGCCGCGGCTCCCTCTTGCAGCCAGTAGCCGCCTGGCTCGCGGCGCACGTGTGGACGCACGGCGGGTCGCGTGTCGGGGCAGAGGGAGCGACGCGCGGGCGCGCCCCGTCTGCTCCCGTCATTCGGCCCGCGGCGGCTCCTCCTCCGCGCTATAAAAGCGGGCAGGCGCGGGCGAGCCGGGCGAGCGCTCGGGAAGCGGCTGGTGGCGCGTCGCCCTCCTGCCTCGCCTCGCCTCGCCCGCCTCGCCCGCGGCCGCCCCGGCGGGTCTGCGATGCTGGTGCCGCTGCGGACGGCCTTGCAGCAGGCCGGGAAGATGTCCGAGGGCAGCCCGCCCAAGCTGGACGCCAACATCCTCGTCCTCGGAGCCGCGGACGTGGGCAAGTCCGGTGAGCGCCCCCCGCGCTCGGCCGCCCGCCCGCCCAGCCTGTGCCCCGGGCAGCCGCGGCCGCCGCCCCCTCGGGGGTCGCCGGCCCCGCTTCGTCGCGCTCACCCGGGGACGGCCAGCCCCCCCCCCCCGGCTTAACCCCCGCTGCGCTCCCAGCTTGGTGCGGGCGGCGGGAGGGAGGGGGCTTCCCAGCGCGGCATCCGGAGGCTGTCGGAGGAGCCGCTGCGCCGTCGTACGAGGCGTCAGGCGCAAGAGGGGGACGACCAGAGGCTTCGGCTCCGCGGTGCGAGGGATATTTTCAGGCTCTTCCCCGCAGCCTGCTCTGGCCCGGGACCCTGGGAGGAAGTGGGGGCCTTGCCCACTGGATCGGATCGGGGCCCCAGCCCTGCTTGCCTGCACGGGGGGGGGGGGGGCGCCGTTGCACAGCCAGTCCCTCCGAAGTGACTCGCATGTCACACGTCCGGCTCGGGGGTCGGTGGGGGCGACCCCTCCCTCGGCCACATGCGGGGCGAGCTGCCGTGCCGATCGGATCGGGGAGGCTCCTAACGTGCGCTTCCTCATTTCGTCCCAGCATTGATCGTTCGCTTTCTGACCCGGAGGTTTATTGGCGAATACGGGGATATTGGTAAGCACGATTTCTGGCATGACAGTATTTCCACTGCATTTCCTCTGCTGCCCCCTCCCTCCCTAACCATTTTGCCTCCTTTCCAGAATCAATTTACACCCACAAGGTGACGATGGCTGGCCTAGAGGCTTGCTTCAGCATCTGGGACTCCGTCTGCCCGCAGGTAAAACATTACCTTAGGATCTGGAAAGTGTCCCAAGGTTCGCACTCACATGACACATGAGCCCCCTGCTTCTGAGCAGGGCGAGAGGCTAAAGGAGGGTTTGGGCTAAATCAGGAAATCCAGGAGCGCAATGAGAGCCGCAGAAGAGCTGAGCTGGATCCGACCCTGGTGCATCCCACCCACCCTTCTGCCCCCTGCCCATGGGGGGGGTACAACAGCCCCTCTGCCCCCGTTTCCCGGCATCGTGGGCAGGCACACTGTCTCTGGTCCTGGTGGCAACAAATTGCCCCCTGGCTAGTAGCCACAGAGGGCGCTCTGCTCCTCCAACGCCTGCAATTCCATGGTGAAGCCAGCCAGATGGGTGGAGATCGTGGAGGTTCATGGACTAAGTGCTGCTAGATCGGGGCTCCCAGGAGACGCCCTTCCCCATTCCAGAGTGCCCTCCAGATGGATTGGACTGCAACCCCCATGCTGGCTGGAGTGATGGGAATTGCAGTCCAACCCATTTGGAGGGCGCAAAGTCAGGGGAATATGGGTTGGAGGGAGAGCATGGAGGCTCTGCTGGCTAACAGCCTCTTCTCCACGGGTTTGCCTGCGGCTCACGCCAACGGCCACAACCTGTGCCAGCAGGTTCCCTGAATCCGTGCTGCTCTTGCTGTGGCGCATCGTCACCTGCCTTTTCTGCACGGAATCTCCGTTTTATCCTCACAGCAGCCCTGTGAGGTAGGCTAGCTGGCCACAAGCGGGGGGGCTTCCTCACTGAGGGCCCCAGCCGTGAAGGAGCTCCCAGGGACGGCCTGATCTTGCCATCCTTTCGGCACGATGCCCAAGAACATTTGGTGCTCCGCGGGGGGTCTCCAGGTTGGACGTTTTCAGGAGCACTCCGTGCCACAAATTGTTTTTTCTCTTACACTGGTTTTATTTATTTATTTAGAATATGTATATGCCGTCCTGTCGCGAAGGCCTCAGGACGGCTTTTAAATTTGCATTTGTTTCATGCGCTGTTGTGAACTACCCAGAGAGTTTCAGCTATTGGGCAGTATAGCAATAAGCACAACAACACTGAAACACAGCAACATAGAAACAGAGCGAGCCAGAAGGGGCCTCTTGGGCCATCCAGTCTGACCCCCGGCTCCAGCTGGCTCCGCTCACGACATGCCCACCATGTGCATGTCCAGCCTATCCTTGAACACCCTCACCAGTGGGGCCTCAACGACCTCCCGTGGAAGCCCATTCCACACCCTCGGGGTCCTGACTGTCAGGAAGTGCTTCCTGGCATCCAAACGGAACCCGGGTTCCCTGAGCTTTGCTCCGTTGGAGCGCGTCCTGCCTTCCTCTGCAGGGGAGAACAGGTCTCTACCCACCTCCATGTGACACCCCCTCACATACCTGCATGTCGCCAACATACCCCCTCTGAGTCTCCTCTTCTCCAGGCTGAAGAGACCCAGTTCCCGCAGTCCCGCCTCATGCAGCTTCCCCTGCAAACCAGCCATCCCAGTGGCCCTTCGCTGCACCCCCATCCCTCCGTTTTCCTTCTTGTGAGGAACACAGGCAGCTGACACAGCTCCATTTTATCCTCACGACAACAACCTTGTGCAGTAGGTTAGGCTGAGACCCCGTGACTGAGGGGGCCGCAGGGACCGCCCTGTCACCTCTGTGGCATTAACACCGGATCCTCCCTTGCATCCTCACAGATGTCCAGCCCCCAGGGCGGCGGGCACCAGAAGCAGCTCCGCTGGGCCGACGGCTTCGTCATTGTCTACAGCATCTGCGACCGCGCCAGCTTCCAGTTTGCCCACCAGCAGCTCCTGCGGATCCAGCAGCTGAAGAGGCGGGGTGGGGCGGAAAAGCTGCCCGTTATCTTGGTCGGGAACAAGCGGGACTTGCAACACCGGCGAGCCGTCTCTAGCGAGGAAGGCCGGCTCCTGGCCCTGTCCACCAACGCGGGCTTTTTTGAGATCTCTGCCGCAGAGACTTATCACGGCGCCTTGGTGGTCTTCCACGAACTCCTGGACCTGGTACGGGACTCTCGGAGTTCCATCAAAAAGGCCTCTGTGGGCATCCGCGGGATTGTGCGCAGCATGTCGGCCGTCTTTGGGAGGAGGAGGACTGAATGAGGAGTGGGGAAAAGCTGGGAGGCGAGAGGGAAGCTATGGAAGAGTCACTTGATGACCGCCGTCGAGGTGGCTGCATGCTCATCCATCAGGAATGTCAGCAGAAACGGGGGAAGATGGCAGGTGGTGTGGTGGACGCTACGGACAGCGACAACTGTATTTCCCGTTTACTGCAGAAGGCAGTCACTGTGAGCAGGTGCAAAACCTCTCCCCCCCCGCAGCACCCTCTTGCCTCTCCGGAAATCTGCCAGCTTGCTTCCATCTTTTTGCAGCACAGCACTAGAGATCTGACTTTGAGTGTGAAGCAAGAGATGAAGGGGGTGCTTTGGAACACGTGCAGAGGGCCTGGAATATAGAGGGATGGGCCTGCCCCGGTGGTGGCACAAGTGGAGGCAGGCACCTCTCTGGGCGGCCGCAGATGGATGTGGGGAACGCGATCTTGCCGTTTTGGGAAGGAAGCGTTGTTGGGAAGGAAGCGTTGTCACGTTGTTGTGGAAGCTTTTGGGGCGCTGCAGGGGGTGGAGAACTGATTGGGCTGATTGGGAAGCGGAGAATAAGACTCCATGGATGGTGTGTCAGTGCGAGAGCAAGAATGGCACCAAACCTGGCAGCACACAATCGCGACCCACACACAGCACTTTCTCCTTAATTAAGTGCTCCAGGGGTAGTAACATGTTCTCGATTTTATGTACAGTGCCTGCTGAAAGCCACTGAGATGGTTTCTGATCTCAGCGCACACCGCATGATTCCACTTTTGAAAGCAGTGTGGAGAATGCCTAAATTACAGAGCTGGCAGATTTCCAGAAGTCTGTAAGATGTGTGGGACACAGGGAGTGGGGGGATGGCTTTTTATCACCTTGGTAAAGGAAGCTGAAATGTTTACCCACATCCACCCCTCTGAAATGTTTGCTACGATGCCTGATTTGGTTTGCCTCGAACTTTGGGGTTTGGAAATAGGATGCAGATTGTATGCACTCACAAAACAGGCAGAGTCGTTCTGGATGAAGCGCCAGCTCATTCTTTGCCCTCCCGGGAGAGCTGGACACGTGTTTCCTAAACTCCAGGCACCGCGCTGCTTGGGAGCCCACCTGCTCATGGGGCGAAATAGCTGTGAAGCATGCCAGGGCTCTGCTCCTCAAAGGACAGAGATCTTGCAAGTCCTGCTGGGTCCTGCATTCGTGCAACGTAGCGGTTCGGATCCTGGACTATATCTCAAATTTGTGGAGAACTGCCAGCCTCCCAGCATTGTGCTAGGGCAGGCGGCCAAGCTGCCTTCTCTTCTGCAGCTCTGGAGGGGCCTGAAATGTCGGCCAGGTCCAGGTCCAGGTCCAGGTCCAGGTCCAGGTCCAGGTCGGCTGATGTCAGCAGATCCGGTCAGTCGGTTCTTGCTCAGCCACAGCTGTGAGCCAGGCCCTGGCTTCGCTTGGCCCTGCTCTCTTTCCACTTTCTCCAGGCCCAGGATGGGGAAGAAAGGTGTAGATACTACTGTGAACTTAACTAATGTTGCACTTTTGAACCTCTGTGAAAGCTGAAGCTCCTTTGTCCAGCAAAATTGCACTTCTCTGATTTTGGCAATGAAGTTCTGCAGTAAATAAATGCACAAAAAATGCACACACTGGAGGAAAGAAGGATCAAGTGCATTAAACTAGGGAGATGACTTCCAGAAATATGGACACCGCAAAAACATCATGTCAGACAAGTATTGTCAGAAATGTACAAAGGATGCTTATGTTCATGCAAATGTTTTTTAATTCTCTCCTTTTGAGAGGGGAAGAATAGAAAGATGGGGAGAAACATCAGTACCCCAGCTCTAGCTTTGCCGAATGGTCTAGTTCATTTCGTGTCAATTTCCTTGTAGATCAGGACTGACTCACTCGATTTTTCCCACCTGTGTTCGCCTGGTTTGCCCTCCTCCTTGCAATGCATTTGGCGGAAACGTGAGCTAGTAAAGCAAGCTGTGCCCACTGATTTCGCGCGCCTCCCTTGATCAGGAAGTCTGCCCGCCTTGCATGCCTCTAGGGTGCCCTTCCTCAATGTCTTTATTTTATTTTTTACAAATCAACAGCGAATAAGATTGATTAGGGGACTATTTCTTTCCCTTCTCAGAAATTAAGAGAATTCCGTTCCCAGGGAACTCAGATTTTCAGAAGTAAAAAAAGAAAAGGGGGGCTGGGAAGGCAGCCTGTGCAGAGAATGGCCCCAAAGGGACAAGTTAAGCTGGGCCAGCGTGAGCAGGGCTGGAGCGGAACAAGGTGGTGGGGACCCCCCACTGGCTGCAGCTCCCCTGGTTTCAACTTCTAAAACCTTTATTCTGGGGAGTGTCTCTGTTTACATTCACATTTATTTTGTTATTTAACTTTTCTGTGGGAGGGAAACTCTGGTAGGAGAATTCCTTCACTCTGTTATCATAATTATTGTTATTATTGTTATTGTTATTATAACTGAGTAATAAACTGTTTGTTATTTATGACAATAAATAGAGTCTGGTGATTCTTTTAATTTGTGGGACTCCGAATTCTTCTGAGTTGCCCCACAGTGAGGGCCTGTCGCTGGCCTCAGTGACTGGTTGTATCTCTCAGGAAGAATTCAGCAAGCAAAGGCCCCATAAAGTGGCCTAACGTGCGCCGGGGGACTGGGCTGATTACCATCCTCTGTCCTCAGAGCAAGCCAGTGCTGAAACCGAGGACTGCTCCTTCGCTTCCACGGTACAGCAGCAAGTCAAGTGCTGAGGAAGCGTTTGGGGTCCTGGCCATTTCCAGGGGTGCTGCAATGCCCCTCACAGATCCACAGCCGGGGTCCCACAACACGCTCAAGACAACATCTGCAGGTGCTAATCAACACACACATTTTGAAATAATCACTGGATCGATGCACATTTCACAGACACTCATTTCTCTCCCAAAGAGAAGAAAATCTTCGATGAATTTGCACCCCACCATCAGCAGGTCCTCTAAAATTCCCTTCTGCTCCCCCCCCCCCCGCATTTCCTCCTGGAAGAAAATGGCATGTCTATGCAGAGTGGGGGCCAAGGCTGTTCCAGCAAGAGGTTGCCTTTCTTCCTCCGCTGGAAAGCGCCTTGAAAATTGCACGCCCCCCCCACCCCCCATTGAGAAAGGGACCTGCCATTGTCATCGGTGGACACCCAGGGCTCTGCCTTAGAGATCTTACTGCCCGGCCCATGTGAATGGAGGCCTCGTACTCACGCACGTGACGCCCGCAGAATGGCAGGGCAATGGAAGCGTGAAATGGGCCCTTGCCCCAAGGAGCTTACAGTCTAACTGCCATCAGAAGGGGGAACCTCGGAGGTGAGGGGCGGAGGGAACTGCGCTGACGGCTTGGCGGGGGGGGGGGGGGCTTTGCAGAAGAAGTGGAATCCAAGCAGGCAGTTGAAGAAGGAGGGGCAGCATTTTCAGTGCTTGGGAAGTAGGAATGTGTGAAGGAGGAACCCGGGTCCTGACACTTGGGCATGCTGGCCCTGGAGTTTGCAGTCACACCCCTCGGGGGGGCCACCGGCCTGGGGGAAGCTGCAAAATGTGTGGAGCCCTGGACCCTGGACCCTTGCTTCTGTCCTCCTTTGCTAAACGGCGTGTGCCAAGCACATGTCCCATCAACCCCCAAGGGATCGCAGGGCAAACAAGCAGGGTGGTGGGTCTGCCCTGGAAGAGCGTCAGCCGGAAGACCAGACGCTGGATCCCTTTGACACGCGCGTCCTTTCCAGGGCGATCCTCGCCCCCCAGGCAGTGGAGACAGGAAGCCAGAGAAGCCAGCGCTGCCACTTGTGCAGCTGGGTGGGCTTGGGTTCAAGGCCTCCCCCTCCCCCGGCACCACGGCTCCCTCAGAGGCGATGGAAAAGCCTCGGGACTTTCCAGGCACGCTTGGCAGAAGCCCCTGTACTTGCAAACTGCTGCCAGGACAAGAGGGAGACAGTGTGGCCTAGTGGTTAAGAGCACACAGCGGGGATTCAGGCGACCCGGGTTCAAGTCCCTACTCAGCTTTGGAGCCCGCTGGGTGCCTCTGGGCCAGTCACAGGATCTCAGCCCAACCTACCTCACAGGGTTGTTGTTGTGGGGATCAAATCGAGAGTAAGAGCAGGAGAATGATGTAAGCCACGCTGAGTTCCTTGTAAGAAAAAAGGCGGGCTATAAATGCAATAAATAAATAGTCTCCAACGTCACGTTGCTCGAACTGCACTGAATCCGAGGCCCAGAGAGCAAGAGGGCTTGCAAAGGGGCAGCTTCCCCTGCTCTGCAGCATGGAGGGAGGGAGCAAAGGGGCTGGCAAGCTCCCCCATGCCCCCCCCCCCAAGCAGGGAGCCCTAGGAAGAGGATGCGAGGTGACCTGGGAACGCTGGATCCTGGCCGTCGTGTGGGCCTCTTGGCGGCACGCATGCCGGTCCCCTGAGGAGCCACTGTGGATCCGCAGCGCTGCCACATGCGAAGGGGCGCGGAGAGGAGGACCGGGGAGCCGGGCTTGCTGCAACTGGGGGCACCAGGTGCGGGCGGACCCTCGGACCAGGCACCCCCACAGGATCCCTCCCTCAAGGAGCGGACCCTCGTGGGAACACGCAGGCCACGAAAGACGGGAGCGTGTGGGTCGCGGTGGGGAAGGAGTGGAGCGAGCCCGGGGGGTCCTGTCAGTGGACCCCTGCTAGGCCTCGGGGCCTCGGCAGAAGCCCCGACATGCTGACCTGGGCACCGGCTCGTCTTGTCCCATTCTGACAAGACGCTGCCTGCGTCCGTTGTGTTGATGTGCTGGCTGTCTCCTTACGCAACTGTGTTGTATTCCAAGACACTCGATGGCTGCACTCCTCGAAAAGCTGCATTCTCTCCTGATGCAGCGCATAAAAGCTCGAGAGTCCCTGCCCTCTCCTGTCCCTCCGCTCACAGCAGGGTTGCAATGGCATCTTCTACTCACCGGCCTTTCCACTGCTCCCCCCCTTTTTTCACACCGCAGGCATGTGGCTCAGAAAGAAGAGTCAGAATAGCGACAAAGGAATTCTAAGTTGCAGCACCAGGAACCTCCTGGAAGTCAAGCGTCTTCA